AGTTATGTATAGGGCTCAAAATAACACATTACCATTAAATATACAAAGAAATTTTGTAAAAAGGCAAAGTTGTTATAATCTAAAGGGGATAGAGATATTTGTCAAACCAAAATTCAGAACTAGTCTGAAGGGAAGGTCTACCTCAATCCAAGGAGTTGGATTGTGGAATGGTCTAGAGAGTGATGTGAAAAATGCCAAGTCAATGTGTACATTTAAGAAAAAGATCAAAGCTGGATTAAAAAAAAATGTATATTAAGTAGCTTAGTGTGTGTTTTGTATTAGAATTAGAAAAATTAGAAAGAGTTATTCATTTTTTTTCTGTTACTTGAAAATTATTATGATTGAAATAATTGTTTGAAAAAAGGGGCAGATATAATACGATTTTTTCTTCTTTCTGTTGCCTTTCATTTTAAATCTCTTGTATCTTTTTATATTGTTATGGAATTGTTTTGTACTTTTTAAAATGAATAAACTTTATACCATACCATACCATACCATAAATTGGTTTAAATCATATTTATTTGATAGATTCCAGTTTGTAAATGTAAATAATGAATCTTCGTCATACACCAAAGTTAGTCATGGAGTTCCTCAGGATTCAGTGCTAGGACCAATACTGTTTACTTTATATATGCTTCCATTAGGTAAAGTTATTTAACAGCATGGAATAGATTTTCATTGTTATGCTGATGATACTTAGGTATATTTGTCCATGAAACCCAATGAATCCAATCAGCTACTTAGACTACAAGCATGTCTTAAAGACAGCAAAACCTAGATAACCCTTAATTTTCTGCTTTTAAACTTACAGAAGATAGAGGTTGTTGTTTTTGGACCTGAGCATCTTTGGAATAAACTTTGAAGCCTTTCCCTTCCTCTGGATGGTATTAATGTGGCCTATAGTACACATGTAAATAATCTTGGTGTTGTTTTCAATCAGGATAAGTACGGGAGTGGTTGCACAGAGGTTAGAGAAGGTGGGCCTGTGATCGGAAGTTTGTCGGTTTGACTCCTTGGACATACAACATCAATTTGTGGGTGGGAATGGTGAAGCACCCACACCTGCCTCCACCCTTGTTTGCTCCACTCTGGGCCCTTGAGAAAGACCCTTAACCCTCACCATCTGGGGCAGCTTAGCTGGCCTCTCTCTGCTCCACACAGAGGACAGAGGACTGTGGTAGCATGGTGGTCTGTGGTTGTGTCGTAAAAACAATTGTCAAGTCTTCGTGCAAGATAGTTTGCTGTGGTGACCCCTGAAGAAGGGAGCAGCCAAAAGGAAAAAAAAAAAGTATATATTTTTTTAACCAAAATATTTTTATTGAAATTTTTCACTTTGAAAATACAGACATGTATCAATCTGCACAAGCTTATGCTCCTTTTTTTTTTTTGACAGTATAATAATAATAATAATAAAAATCATAAATCTAAAAGCCCAATTTTGGGGCTTCAACTAATTCAAATTGAAGAAAAGTATAAAAAAGCAAATAAAAACTTTAATACACCCCCTCCCCCCAAAAGAAAAAAAAATTACAAAGCTTCTCATAAACAACCGGGATTGAACATTATCAAACAAATTGAATACACTTGTACATGTCTACTCAGCAAGGGCGTCAGAAGCATCCGTTATGTGAGGGGGACACAATGATTTGTGTAGGTGTGTGTGTGCACGTGTGTGTGCGCGCAAAGAAGTGTACACTAATGTACAAAAAATGCAGCATTTCACCCAGATTTCCTTTAATTCCACACATATAAAACATGTTTCTCACCAAGTTTGTTTGAATTCAGCGGTGGGTTTTAAAGACATTTTAACTTTAATACACTTTAATACAGAGCGTCAGGTCACCACTATTTGTCTTTATAGAGAAATAAAAAAACATCACCACTGGACTTTTTTACTTGTGTTCAACACTCATCTAAATGATGTTTCTCATGAAGCTTGAGGACAATAAGGTGTGGGGTTTTAAAAACATTTCAACTTTAATGCACCTGAACACACAGCGTCTCTTACACCTGCAGCGTCTTACAGCGTCACAGTTACTGCTAAGCTAAGATGCTACAGACGTAGCGCTCCACTCAAACATCCTCCTAACAATTTATATATGTTTATGATCAACCCCCCTGATCAACAACTGCCCGCACTAAGCTCGCTAAAGTGGCGAGCGAGTAACACAGAGGTGTCTCCGTCTCCTCCACCTGTGCACCTTTGCTGCCGAGGCAGGAGACTCAGCAGCTGCTGCCTGCACAGTGTCTGCTCTGTGTTTAGAGTTGGAGGTAACCAGGAAAATGTGGAGTGGAGTTTTAGTAGCTTGAGTATTCTCCTATTGATCAAGTGGAATGGATTCATTCACGAAGAAAGAGAAACTGCGCCGCCTGAACCAATGTTTTATAGTAAAAGTGGGGAGGTCCAAATGAACATTTTTTTAAATGTGTGGGGGACTTGTCCCCTTCACATATAATGGTTGCGACACCTATGCTAGTCAGTATGTTGCACTGCAGGTTCCAGATAATCAAGAGTCCAACCAGCCCTCTCATATGTCTAAATCCTTAATAAAATTAATAAAAGGACCCCTAATCTTCTCAAATAAATGTTGTTTGGATTTCCTAATTCCAGTGGCAAATTAGACGACATCTCCTTTAGCCACCGGGTGGTGCTAGGTCTGTTGACATTCTTCCAAGCCATACACTTTTTTGCAGATAACAGGCTTATATCTATAAGGTTGTTTTCACACCAGATAGTCCGGTAGACTCGGTTTGGTTCGGGACCAATATTCATGACCTTTTGTTTACATTTGAGCTGGTGCGTTTGCATTCACACTGCACTGTGCAGTCGAGTCAACCTGTTGAACCAACCTATTCCCCCGCTCACCTGTGGGGGCGCTTCACCAAGAACTACTGAAAGAAACAACACAAAACCCTCTGAAGACACGTCTTCTTCTTCTTCTTCTGTAAATAAAAATAAAAACGAAGTGGCATCAAGTTTTAGCAGTTTTAGGAGTTATATTTTGTCATTTTTCAAAAATGGACTTAGCATGAGCAGAAGATGAGACAGAAGACCATGGAGAATATTGTTTTTCACACAAGACAGCTGACGGCTCCATATGAGGTCAGAGAAATGCGTGTTTGTTTACCCTGCGGTGCGGGGCTCGGTCTGTTTGCATTCACACTGTACTCGAACAGCGCGGGAGTTCGCTTCTACCGGACCGAGACCTAGGTTTTAGCCCGGGCCAGAGTTCACCTTTTTGTTCCGTGACAGAGTTCGATTGCGCGTTCACACCTCCCTAAATGAACCGGACTTTCTAGGCGAATGAGCTAGAGTTCGATTAAAGCGGACTAAACAGGGCTGGTGTGAATGCACCCCAAAAATGATGCAAAATACTTGGGCCATGCATTTAGCATGCAGAGAGGGAAAAAAACAACTTGCATGTTTAGAGTAAATGCTTTTATTTATTTATTTTTTTTGATAACACCCCAGGAAGTCAAAAAGATTTTCTTAAAGTACAATAAAAAAAATAATCAAGTGAAACATTCATCACCGATCATTCAATCATTTAACTTTTCAGAGTTACAAAACTAATACATTCAAAAACATTTTCCGTCAGGATTGTTTTGCAACCTAAGTTATTGCACATAAAAATAAAAAGAAAAGAAAAAGAAAAAATACTCTTAATTTTCCAGCTTTTTTAACTTACTTTTATTTTTACGTCTAATCTATAACAGAAAAAAAAAATCAACACTTCATATGTCCTAATTTGTGACGTGAATAAAAACTTAAGTTAAGAGAAAATCACAACAAATTATATTATTCTGATTTGTTATCATTAAATTAAAGTATAAAAACCTAAAGAAATAATAAAAACATTTGGAGTGCTGTTTTGTAGAGTTGTTATTAATAGTTAATATTTTTTTGAAAGTTCAGAGTATTATTAGTTTGAAAATCAGAGAAAAATGATCTCATAGGATTTAAACTAACACTGAGCCAGTCCCAAAAACATATTTCTGTCTTAAAACAACTCCAATCTCAAAGCTTTTATAATGTGAACACCGTATCATCAAACTTTATTCTGCCATCACGTTTGCATTTGACAGTTATTTACATAAAACTCTAATTATTTAGATGAAATCTATGTCGTGCAATGGTCCATATGAAACATGCTGCAGAACAAAACAAGTATGCAGAGACCATTTAATGCAAGTCATACAAATTCAGTAGCAGTTCAATATAATACTTTATTTAAAAAAAAAATCATCTTTCTTTTATATTAAATAATTAGCACTGTTGCCAAGTCCACTAATTATAATCAACATTATCATTTGACTTGAAAATTTTAACAATTGCTTATTTTGGGCTTACTCCTTTACACCATGCTGTGGCTGAGTGGTTGGAGCAGTTGTCCTCCAATGCAAGAGTTGGGGGTTCGAATCCACCATCAGTCACATGCTGAAGTGTCCCTGGGCAAGACACTGAACCCCTCATTGCCACCGATGTGTGTCCCACCGGTGTATGAATGTGATCTAAAGCACTGATGATCTTTAGAATGATTTGTTCAATTAGCTTTCTATAGATCTAGTAGAGTGCATGAATGGGTAAATGAGGACACAGATTGTGTTGTAAAGTGCTTTGAGTGTTTTGATAAGATAGCATGGTTCTATATAAGTACAGTTCATTTACTGTTATTGTAAACCTGCCCCTCTATCTCTGATTGGCTAGTATACCTGTTGCGTTCATGGACTAAGCTGGATAGTTTTGGTTAGTAATTTCTGGGTCCGCCCCAGATTCTCTTACCCGTGGGATGTGCTCAAAACATAAAGGGAGGTGTCCAGGAGGTATACGGATCAGATGCCTGAACTACCTCAACTCCTTTTGATGCGAAGGAGCACTGACCCTAATCCAAACTTGCCCCAGATGATGGAGCTCCTCAACCCTGAGCCCAGCCACCCTACGAGTGAAGACCGTTTCAGTGGTTTGTATCCAGAGTCTCATTTGTTCAGCCATGATTCAAACCTCATGACCATTCTATAGGTGAGGGTTGGAATGTAGACTGAACAGTAAATTGAGAGGTTTGCCTTTTGATGCAACTTTCTCTTTCTCTTCTCTTCTTGACTGACTAGTTGACCAGTCTAGTTAGTATGAACAAGTTTACCTTCTGTAGCACATGTTTCACACGGACCATCACTGGTCCTGTGGAAACGATGGCAGTGATAAGCATAAATAACTACAGACCTAACAGTTTAATGCAAAAGTTATGTCAGTTTAAATGCGTATTTAAAAAATGTTTTTAAAACTATAGCAATTAAGAATTTCTTTATACATGGCTCTGGAAATCTGCTTTGATTCAAACCAACAACACTCAGTGATTTCTTATGAAGGGAGCAAATTGATTATTGGCAAAAACTCAACAAAACATCACTTCAAAACATCTAAACTGTGGCTTTGAGTGCAGCGTGAGTACGTTTTTAGTTGTACTGTGCCAATGCCAACAAAGACAGGGAGAAACAGATCAAGAACACAAAAAGAGATGAATGATGTGGGGTCAGGTTTCCACCATTGTTAAAAATGCTGTCGTCAGGAGTAGTGGTAAGGATAAAGAAATTGTGATTGAAAAAGTGATAAGCAGTGGTAGGCGCTGATGTTGGACAGGTGTAATGCAAGTCTGGGTCCATGCCCTGAGAGGTAAAAGTAACAAAACCTGGTCCCATGCCAGTGACTTTGTTGCTGATCCATTTCTGGTACCGGGACACACGGGTGTAGACACTAGGTATGTGCTGCCAGTCTTGGTAATAAAGACTCTGAATTCCACTCTGGACCCAGATTGAGCCTTTTTTGGTCACTAGTGCAGTCCCCTCGTCTTTCTGTGAAAAGAAATTAAGAATAGTTCAAATAAATTTCTTGTAGAGCTGTGTTTAACTTTTTGCATCCGAGATACAGTATGGTGCAAACTAACATCAAGTACCGGTAATACTGTTTTACATTTCTTTCATTGCTAGCATCAGGTTACAGACTTTTAAGTAAAAAAATTATTCAGATTAACAAAAAAATCAAATAACCAAAGAAAGAAGACAGAGAACACTTCAAAGGGGCTGCAAAATACCTCCTTAGAATACAACACTCTTAAAAATGGACTATGGATAGAAAGAGATGAAAATAGAGTAAGAGTAACTTCGAGCATGAAGAGTAACTTCATGGGAAATGATAAAAATTACATACAAATGAATACAATAAACATTCAGAAATAATGATAAAGTGAACCAAATTTTAACTCTAAATTTGGATTTGCAAGTTACGTGAAGTTTAATGCATTCATATGTTAATAAAAAAAATAGACAACACATTATAAAATAATGGAAAAAAAATTAGCTGTTACATAAATTGCCTCCTTTGTCCTATTCTCCTGGCCGGCACAGAGCTTATTCTCTGTTGGTAGAACACCATAACTGGAGGAAGTTTTGTAGAGGCAGGTGCACTTCTCGTTTCCAATTATTGGTACAGCAACTTCCTGGAGAATCTCAGGCCGAAATCCATTTTCTAATAAGGGAGATTGAAATTGTTAGAGCTTTGTGAAGAATTCAGTGAAAATAGATCATTTCTGACTCACGGTTGTAACCAAAACCAGTGACCCAGCTGGTAGTCCCTTCATAGAAAGTGCTGTTTTCTGCAGCTAGGCAGACTGGCTGGATGTAGTCTGTAAAGTTGACGGGAGCCGACAGCTTCACGAGGCAGATGTCGTTCTCATAGGTGAAAGTGCTGAAGTTTTGATGACAGAGGTACTGCGCTACTTTCCGAGTCACTTCATTGGGGTTGGAACCTGACTGGTTGTAGACACCCAGATGCACCACTGAGCCATTAGCATTATGCCTTGAAAAAAAAGAATTGTGTCCAGTGTTTTCAAAGATGCTCTTATTAGTATCAACTAAATAATGCAGTGAGAATAAAACTTTTCTGTCTCAGTCTCTTTGCTTTCACTTTTAAGTCAACCATACAAAGCTGCAGACTGACTATCTAAACCAGGGGTGTCCAATCCTGGTCCTCGAGGGTCACTATCCTGTATGTTTTACTTGTTTCCCTGTTCCATTACACCTGATTCAGTGGTTGAATGGTTGATCTTCACGTTCTGCAGAAGTATTTTAGTCAGCCATTGATTCAAATCAGTTGTGCTGGAACAGACATCCAAAACATGCAGGATAGTGACCACCAAGAACACCCCTGGTCTACACTTGTGTTATGTACCTATAAGTCTAATAACTTTCCAGTTAACACCTTACACATGGTTTATAATTTTCCAGATTTTTATAAACTATGATTAGAACTGAAATTATTTATAAATCAGTTTGATTTAAGTGTTATGCTTTTCTTGTTTTAGTTTGATGCTTTTGTGATCAAGCATGTACAGCTGAAACCACGTTTACATACTGTACATGGTATAAAAGACATACAATATTATTTTCCCTCTATGTCTTCCATTAATTCAATAAAAGCCTTTCCTGTTTTAGGTCCATTAGGTTTCCCCAAATTATTTCCATTTGTTAAATACCTGGAAAATGATATACGTTATTTTTAATGGAATTACTTTCTTCATTGTCATAAATGTACATTTTCTTAGTATTTGAAAGTATTGTCTTTAAACTGGTGGCTCAGTTGGTAGGTAGAGCTGTTGCTTCTCAGCGAGAAGGTTGCTGGAACAAATCCCGGTCCTAGGACCTTTCTGGGTGTAGTTTGCATGTTCTCTCTGTGCATACGTGGGTTTTCTACAGGTACTCCAGTTTTCTCCCACATACCAAAAACATGCATGTTAGACTGATTGGTAAATCTAAATTGTCTCTAGGTGTGAGTGAGAGAGTGAATGGTTCTTTGTCTCTATGTGTCCCTGTGATGGACTAGAGACCTGTCCCGGATGTCTCCCACCTCTCGCACAGTGACTGCTGAACATGGACACCAGTGACCCCCGCAACCCAAAAAAGAAGAAGTGGGTAAAGCTAATGGATGGATGGATGTCTTTAAACTGCCTGACTTGGGTAAAAACTTTTTTGGTATCCTTCTTCAAGCTTCTCATAATAGTTTGACAGTATTTTGTCCCATTCCTCCTGCCATTAAATTTTTTATGGGATTGAGATCAGGACTTTTTGATGGCCTCTCCAAAACTTTGACTTTTTGTCTTTAAGCCACTTTATAACTAATTTGGCCGTATGTTTTGAGTCATTTTCCATTTGGATATCCCATTGAATCAAGCTTTGACTTCATGGCTGATGTCTTGACTGCTCCACCTGGGTATATCCCAGGTGCGATGGATCAAATGCAGAGAACTAATTTTGCCATTGTATGGAAACATACAATGATGACAACACATAGCACTTTACTTTGAGATGTTTCTTCAATATTTCCATATAATGTTCTTTCATCATGGTACCATCTATTTTGTGTAGTGCACCATTAAGCAAAACACCCCACAGCATGATACTGTCATCGCCTTACTTCTCAGTTGGGATGGTGTTTTCTCAGGTTTGCAAGCTTCCCCCTTTGTTCTTCAAATGCAATGATGGTCATCATGACCAAACTATTTTAGCTTCATATGACCACAGGACATGTTTTCAAAAATGTAGGTATTTGTCCCTGTGTTCTGAGTAATGGCTTCTTCATCACTGAGTGACCTTTCTGCTTGTGTTGGTACAGGAATTTTTTCTCTGTGGATAATGACTCTCTGACCTGTTTCAGCAACATCTCACAAAGTCTTCTGCTTTTGTGTAACTCTTTGAGCAGATAAACATGGCACTTTCAGGCAGCTGGAAATTGTAGCCAAGGATGAACCAGAATTGTGGAGGTCAACAAATCCATTTTTTATGTTTTGCCTTTTTTCTTTTGACTTTTTTTCCCCACGTTGTCTCACAAAGAAGTACTGTAGAATGTTTAAGTGCCTCCAATTAACTCAAATGTTGTCAAACAACCTATAAGAAGCTTCCAAGGCCATTACATTATAATCTAGGCTTTTTAAAATGATTGAAAGGTATAGTAATCCTAGTGTATGTAAACTTAAGACTTTGATAAATGTATACAAATGATCTTTATCATTGTGGGTATTTAATAAATATAAATCTTTTTGCGTAGAGATGGATATATGGCACTTTGAGGGGAACTGGATCTTCCAATATCTTTTACCAGCTATTTCCTTTTTGGGTCAAGGGGGTCATGTGTGCTCATATCCAGCAGTCATTGTGTGAGAGGTGGGGTGCACCCTGGATAGGTCTCCAGTCCATCACAGGGACACATAGAGACAAATGAGACAAACAACCATTCACTTTCTCCCTCACACCTAGGGACAATTTAGAGTTACCTGGAGAAAACCCACACATGCACGGAGAGAATGTGCAAACTCCACCCAGACTGGCCTACTGGCCAGGATTCGATCAAAATTCAAATTCAATTCAAATTCAAACATACTTTATTAATCCCAAAGGGAAATTAATTGTTGTTGTAGCTCATCCAGGTTTCATTAGAGTTGTTATAGATGCTGATGGCTGTGGGCAGGAAGGATTTCTTGTAGCAGTCTGTCCCACAGCGAATCCGAAGAAACTGGTTGCCGATGCCGATCCACCCAGACCCAGCAGACCTCTCAGTCCTTTTGGGCAGCAGGATAACCTGAATGCCAGGCAGAACTTCTCCCCGAGTGATGGCCATTCCTCCCAGGAGCCTGCCGAGCTCTTTGTCACCACGGACAAAACTGCAGGTGCCGGGGGATGATCTCGGTCCTCCCGCTGTCACGAGCCATGTTTCCCGCCACCTCCAAGATCTCAGTGGTCAGACACTTGAGCATCGCCTCCAGGTAGATGGGAATGCATCCATGGCACCTCCTTTTCATCTCATTGGGATTTGGGACTGTAGTTGAGGTATTATTTGAGCTTTAGAGTTGTTAATTAGCAACTCCCAGTTGTAGAAAGCCACCTTGTTGTCATGGTTACGTATCATAACAAATGTCCAAAAGTAAAAAGGTTTCAGGAAAAATCCTTCCAGCTGCACAGCGTCCAAAACCAGAGGAAATATTCATCCCAAAAAATCAATTTACAGCCAGAAAAAAATAATAATTCAAGTTTTCAAAAACAAAATCTCAGAATGAATGTAACAGAGCTACTCCAACATGCAGCCACCCCGAGCGGCGCAATTCAAGAAATCCGTCGACCTTCATGCTGAGAGGTGGCAGCTCTACCAACGTCGCCACCAGAACAGGATCTTGAAGATGCGTTTGTTCAAAGAGCCTTTCAATTTTGAACAGTAGTGATGTCACTACATTAGCTGTATGCCATGAAGTATGCTGTACGTAGTGATTTCACAACATAAGGACCATAATACGTATCTTGTTAAACCCGCAACCCCCTTCCCTCTCCTTAGGTGCTTTGCTTCTCCCCTTTACCTGTTTTACTTTGCCTCAGTGAAAAAGTGGTGGAATGTCTTTTTGTAAAGCATGAAAACATTAAGAAATCACAAAGGGGGAAAAATAAAACAAGGAATATTTCTCAAATGTCTGTGACTCGGCTCCATTCTATCATTGTAAAAAAAAACAATTCAAAAGAGTTGGATGAATGTTACATCTTTAAATTTAGGAATCCTAACAGAAAACAGGAAAGGGTTTGATTGATTTAATGGTAGATAGTAAAAAAAAAACTAACACATTTTTTTTGTTCTAAAGTCCGTACAGTTGTGATTTCAACAATATTTGAGTTTATGTGATGTTTGAGCAGAGGTTGACCTTCAAATCTTACTTTAAGCGCTTCAAGAAATGAAAGTCATTGTCAAAAAGTTTTTAAAAAATCTTAATTTTGTGTTCATTTAAAAAAAGCTGTATATGTTGTGCTGTGTTTTCTTTATTTTTATGACCCAAAATGTAAATAAGTAGAACAATTACAACAGTAACTCCTCACCACATCATGCAGGAAGCAGTTGTCAACACCCACTGGTTGGTGATCAGGGATCCTTGACAAAAGACTGTGCTTGAATCTTTAAAAAAAACATGCCAGGGCCAGCTTCCCGGGTGTGCATTTTGACCTCCAGTGAGTCCACTGTTGATCACAGGTCTGCCGCACACTGAAAAATGTGGCAAATTTTTTTTTCAATAAATATACAGTGGGTTTGTAAATGTAAAATTTGTTACAGAACAACTCAATGTGAAAGAACACTACATTAGCTAATATTAAACCTCTACACTTTGTAAAGACTCCCATTTGTTTAGTTTGTCTCTGTTTTGTTGCAGCGAGAGCTGATGCGGGCCCTAAGCTACTGTAGCTAGCTGTCGCCAGCTGTGGGCCTCAGGCCTCATCTCGGACCCCAGGTCCGCCTCCAGCTCACGTTACCCCTCAGCTCAGACCGCCCTCAGAAGTAGCAACTCACACTATCAATAAATCAAGGAAAAGGGAATTAAGTTTTACCAATTGTATTAAATCAAGGCAGGAAAAGGTTACAGTTTACAGCGCTGGCCTGTCTGATACATGACGCAAGATCCTGGACGGGAAGAGCCGGATGTCACATGGCATTACAAATATATGGGGCCTAGACTCCTCCTTCGCAGAGGGGAGCACAGTCTATAAAGTGGAAAAGGGGGAATGGACTAAATGTGATCTCAAGGATCTTATGTGGTCTGACATGTCAGGAAAACAACGATACGGTGCAGGAAAAAGTCTTTCTACGTAATGCAGCGAGCCAATAAAGAAAATAACAAATAAATTAAAACTCTATTCCTTTATGGATATTGAATCCCTGGGAGACTGTTTTTAGAGTTACTGGCTCCGTTTAAACCAGTCAGAACCGGGTCATAATTTCATCATAATCCATCTCTGAGTAGATTAAAATAACAGGGTCAGTTTAGATAAAATACTAACAGTTTTCTTAACCAAACAATGTCTTCACAAATGTATGAGTACTGCACACTGACTGGCTGTGTCAGTGAAAAAGTTGTTGGTGCGGGACTGAAAAGATATCAGTCCACCTGATCAGCACATCTAACCAGTCCAAAAGTTCCCTCAACTAACAGTGGACGGATGCATTCAATAGCCTCGGCACCATCGGTATACACGGTCTGTGCTCAGAGCATACATTTGAGTAGTAACACAAACTTTTAGTTGAGACACAGTCACACTAAACAAACTGTCAAGCAAAGTGTTGTGGTTGAATATTGGCTAATGTATTTATAGGCTGGCAAGTAATTTTTAAAATATTCTACTGTATGAGCCTGAAAAAGGATAAAAATGTGTGCTTGTTTGAATAGCCATTAGCCTAGAAGACTTTTGCCTCTTTTCTCATACTCTATGATTGATGTCATAGCTGATCTTTTGCTCTCTGATCTTTCAGCTGCTGCCTTCTTCAGGAGTCGCCACAGCAAGCAAACTAGCGTGAAAGATTTGGTGATTGTTTTACACTGGATCACTTACTTGAAGTAATCGGAATGAATTATTTTGAGTTTTCCCTTTCTCCTTTAGTTCAAGTGTCAGTATAAATTAAATAAGCATGACTATATGTGTGCTGCTGATTAAAATCTCAGGTTGCTTCTAACCGTGGGTGCGGTTGCTTACCAGGCTGCTGTGAATGGTATCCTGAAACGTGAAACACAAACAAGGATGTCAAACAAAAGAGCAGAGTGTTAGAATGAAACAACCTGATATGGTCTGTTGTTCAGATCATTGGGTATTACTTGTTTTTTACCAAACAAAAAATATTTTAAAGCACACAAACACTGTCCTTTTTCTTAAGATAACACAGGTTCCTGAGGGCAGAATAAAACATCCATCCATCCATCCATCCATCCATCCATCCATCCATC